CAGACCTGCTGACCCGCACTCCTGGGAGAGCAGCACGGCAGCTCAGCGGGGTGGAGAGAGTATTTCTCTGCAGGTTGCGTCCAGGGGGCTGCCGCCCGCCAGACCCTGTGCACGAGAGCCCGGGGCCCCGAGCACCTGCTGCCCTGCTCCTCTGTGCAGATGTCTGTCCACGTCCGAAGAGCACCTCTCACACAGTGATGGGACACGAACGCGGCCCTGGATGTGAATGTACGTGGTGTCTCAAGATAGGCACCGTGGAAGGGTTGGCCCTGCCGTTGTCCCCCGCACAGCGTTCATTCTTCCCACCCCTGCCCTGTGCGTTGGGGGAAGCATGCAGTCTCGACGTATCGTCATTTGTTTACATGTAAACTCAACAACTATTTTTATTTCTTTATTGAACCATAACTATAGTTTCAAGTGTATAGTCAACAACTGTTTTCAGAGTCCCACCGTGTGCACAGTGAGGGGCCTTGGTGACAGGGTTCACCATGCACAGTGACAAGCCTGACACACTGAACCTCCTCTGGGTTCTCAGAGGCTCCCGCGTGGGTCAGGCCGTGTTTCCAGGACCCGCCAACTGTCCCAACTCAGGAGGGCCGAGGAACAGCTGGGCGTGAGTGGATCCTGCACCTGCCTGTCGAGGTTCACGCAGTGCCCCTGAGGGTTACTTTGTACGATTCTGCCTCACTGCAACCAGGGGATCTTACCAGTGAGCGTAGACCTCTGAAATCTGACCTCCAAACTTCCGTTTCTTGTTGTTTTGTTTACAAGTGCTCTCCTCACCCTGTTTGGGATTCCAGGTGCTCATGGGACAGTCGCCCTGGTGAAGCCCTAGCTGAAGCTGAGTTTAAGTTGGCTCAAGGGCTGCAGCTTGCCAAGAATGGTAGTTTTTGTTCCATTTAAGTGCATTTTGCATAACTGCCAATAAGCCCCAGTTAATGGACCTTCATTGGCATAAGAGGAACACCATTCAGTTGAGCTGTTTACTGTTCAGTATTTCCTGTGAAGCTTTGGAACATTGGAACTGGTTTTTCCGGTTTCTGAGTCCCCATCAGATGCTTCATCACATGGGCAGGAATCTTGCAGGGCTCCGCTCTTCCCTGTCTTGATTCCAAAGCACCTAACTATTTCTAAAATATGGGTTGCTTGTCTTTGGTAAAGCTGCACCTTTTAGCCTCATGGAACTGGTCCATGCTCACCGGTGACTCCCAGCCTTCTGCCATGCCAACTGGGGGTCCCCCGGGTGTCCCCTCAGTGCCACTTCTTTGGGGGAGAAGAACAGCTGCTGTCGAATTTCTCTTGCTGGAAGATAATCTCAGAGCTTCAGCTGTCAGTCCTACAGCCTGTGAACATGCTCTGCTTTCCCCTGAACCCAGTTAGCATAAATTTGTGGTTTTCTCTGTTCACTGAGTGACAGGGGAATTGATCTTGGTCATCAAGCTTCCACAAGCCCCAGTCTCTCCGCTCTGTTTTCCGAGTGTCTTCAGCCAGCCTGGTATAACCCTCTTCCTTAACAGACTTGTCAAGGAGGAAAGGTATGGTCTGTTCTCTGAAACCTTACATTATAATTAGAAAAGTAAAATCACAAGGCGGACATGGCTGAGAAATACTATTTTCTGTCTCCCGGACACAGAGAAGTGCAGGGAAAACACCACGGGCGTGCCAGGGGCCCCTGACATGAGCACATTGCTAGGATTGCATGTGGTGGTCGCCCAGTCGAGTGAACTAGCCAAGGGTCTCAGGCCCCAGCACCAGCACTACCTGTTCCTCCAGGTGCTGTGTGCCCTTTGATCTCCCGGGGTTTTCTACCCTTGCTTATATTTAGAGCCGGGGAGGGCGGGGGGGGCGGTGCCTGGGTGACTCCGTCAGTTGGACGTCCGACTCTTGATTTTGGCTCAGGTCGTGGTCTTGGGGTCATGAGATCGAGCCCTGTGTTGGGCTCCACGCTGAGTGTGGAGTCCGCTTGGGATTCTCTGTCTCCCTCTGCCCCTCCCTCCCTTCCAAAAAAAAAAGAGAGGAGAGAGAAAGCGTGCATGGTGGAGTTGGGGGGTGGGGGGAGAAGAAAGCCATGTTTAGGAAACTGAATTAATGGCCCCACAGTCTCTTGAACTAAAAGTTCCCTACAGCACTGGCGATGTCAGCCCATCCTGTGACCGCAGGACAGTATGACCGGGCTTGAGACCAGAGTCCTGCGTTGGTGGTTTCACCTGCTTTGGTGTGGTTACATGTTCACTTCTCCGGGTGGGGCAGTGAAGGGTGAGTTACTTGGAAGCTGTGAGATGGGGCACAGCATGACCAATGTAGCCCACCTGAGCCTAAAGGAGGAAGTCAGTATATGGAGGAAGTGGGGTGAACCAGGGGGGCCCCCAGGGGCTCCGTTCCAGCTACTCACTTTGCCCGAGGTGGGACGCATTTCCTCAGTGGCACCACCAGGAGCTCACTGACAGGGCCACTGGGGACAGTGTTCGTAGCTGAGGTTTCGTTTTCACTTAAAAAAAATGCCCGACTCTGAGTTCAGCACTTCTAATGTCATTGAGGGCTGGTTATCTTTCAAGAGCAAGCGTTCTGGTTCCCGTCCCTCAGTGCATAGTGCCGTGTGTCTGGACAGTGGGACCGAGCTGTCTCTGGGAGGAGCTCTGCTGATAGCACTGTTTTATCTTTCCTTTACTCTGTCCTTGCAACACATCGTGACTTAGTATTTTCAAGCAGTTAGAGAGCTTTGCTTGTGAAGGGCTTTTGGAGGACGTGAGTGGGTCATGTTCTGGTGCAAAGTCTGTCTTTATTCCGTCACACTTCAGTTCCTTGAGGGCGGGACCTACACGTTCGCAGCGCATGTGCAACTCATGAGCACCCGGCGAGACCACTGAGCCCCGCAGAAGGTACACGAGGGCTCACGGTCCCTTGGCTGGAACGGCGGACTCTCAGCTTTGGCTCTTCCTGCAGCAGCTGCGGCACCTGGGCCGCTCCTGAGCTGCGGCTAAGCTGTTAGTGCGGAGCCTGTCCGCTGCGTGGCCACTGCTGTGAGCAGTGTCCCGGCTTGGAGTTTGCCATTTCAGCATCACGCCAAACAGGAGCTCGCTGTGGAGCGCTCACCACGTGCACACATATGGACAGCAGGGTCTAGATTCTGGATGGCTCTAGATAATTCTAGGATGGCAGCTGGCACAGCTGTCAGGAGTGTGCACTGGTCTTAACAGCGTGCGCCTCGGCCTGGGCGTACTGTGGCCTCCGGCGTGTGTGGACTCACAGCTTGCCCTGTGTCACACGGCACGTACACAGGAAGGCCGTGATTGTGTCCTTGTACATAAGCATCATGCTGTGACGTGGAGTCAACCCATTCCCCTAATAGAGACCCTCTGCCCGTCCATTTGGAGGGCATCAGCGGTTGATGGAGAAGTAAATATACCGTACGTGATGTTCTGGTGTTTAAGCAGCAAACTCACTCATTCAGTAGCAATCAGAACGCTGACTCTGTCAGACCTGTCTTGGGGGCTCAGGGAAGGGAAGGAGGTGGTCCCAGGAGGGTGGGTTCAGCGGGAGTGTGACTGTGGTGAGCAGGCCTCCTGGGGTGGGAGGGCATTCCTGTCCCCTTCTCCTCCTCTAGGCATTTGCCCCTGGGCTGGATTTCGATGGAACCGAGGTGAGAATAGGGTAAGGACAGGAGTGCCTCAGAAGGGAGCAAAGAAATTAGCTGGGTTAATTGTGCAGCTTAGCGACTGAAGAGGTGGCTCTGGTCACAGCTGGGACTCCCCTGCATGTGTGCGTGGCGGGGCTCTGGCAGCAGAGTGACAGGCAGCCCTCCGAGGCCACATGTGCTGGTCCAAACAGGTCACGGGTGGGGACGGACTGGGTCTGGCGAGGGGCCTAACACAAGGGTGCGGGGGCTGCCGCAGGAAGGTGAGACGTGTCCAGGAGGCAGGCTTGGTGGGGCTCAGGGAACCCTTACAGGCTGAGGTGGAGGACCCAGGTGTGGGGATCCCATCTTCCTAGTTTGGGTGTCCGAGGTGAGACATAAAGAGCTCAGTTTGGGGAGGGTCCCGTGTGCGATGTGCGTCTGGACAGTGGGACCTACAAGCCGGAAGCTTGGGGAGAGTTGGCATTGGAGGTGGATTTGGGAAACATGAGCCCATTGGGATTGTAGCAAAAGGAAGTCAGCTAGGAGTCCTGAGAACACCCTCATGAAGGATGGCAGAGAGCTTAGAGAAAAGACAGGTGCACAGGGGGCAGAGCGCCCAAGCACAGGGGGCCGTCTGGAGAAAGGATGAGGACATGCATGCTGGACTTGAACCTAGAGCAGCTTCTGAAGAGTAGGGGGGGCAGTGCTGAGGCCGGAGATTGTGAGACACCCCTCCCATTGGTGGGGCCTGGAGGGATGGGGAACGTGGGGAGGGAGAGGGACAGGGGCTGTTCAAAGGGGGACAGTGTGGCGGTGGGCACCCCAGGGAGGAGAAGGAAGTTTCCTCCTTCAGTACTGCCTGCTGTGTGTGCCGTCTCTCTGGGCTCACGTGGCATTTCCTGAGCCCTCACGCCAGAGGGCATGGCCCTTTCTGGGCAGCAGAGAAAGCCCTGAGAACAGAACAGTTAACCTCGAAAGTTGGAATCCAAAGGGAAGTGATGTTTGAGAAGTGAAGTTATCTACACATCCAGCCCTTCAAGACGCTGACTTTATTTCTGGTTTATTGTGTTTTTCTTGGTTTAGAGTTTATTTTTAGCGCCTGATAATTAAAACTGTGCTAGCGGTTCCAAAAGTGCCCATGTCTGTTGGTGGGAGTACCCTCAATGAACACACTTTGCAAACGCTCCAGCAAAGACTGCGTGAGTATAAGGAAAGCAAGTGCCGGTCTCAGAGTTGTGGCCCGTCTATTTAAAGTGCTCACCTGCCACCGCGCGTGTTTATTTTTGTCATGCCCAGAATTGCTGCTGTACGTGGGATGTAATTGTAAGGATTCTTGAAATGAGAGTGTATGAGCTGGAACAGGAAAAAATACATCTTTATTTTCACCAGCTTCTAACTGAAACTCATCCTTTCCTTTACAACAGAGTCCACAAATCCTAGTAATAATAGCAGCATCTGCAGCTGTGTCACCAATAGGGATCGCGGAGGACCCGATGTCCCCTTACAGTTGGAGAGGTCCGTGTGTGTCCTTTCCTGTCATCCTTGTCTCCAGATTAGTTACTACACCCGCTGCTCTATTATTAAAGATATACAAAGAAGTGGGTAAATTCCTATGTCATAAACATGTTTTTTTTTAAAACTGTACTTTGTTATAATTAATTCTTTTATAAGCCTATTGTTTTATTGTATGTATTTAAGGTTATTCAGAGGAAGAATCCATAGGTTTCACCAGACTGCCAAAAATATTTATGATATGAAAATGTTGAGACCCCTGGCCGAGGAGACAAAGTGTGCTGGGGCTGCCTTCAGGAGTGAGAGACTGAGGGAGTCGGATGGATTTTTATGTTGAAAACAAAGAGAAAACCTAAAAAATATGTTTAAAAAAAATTAAGTCTGAAAGAATCAGATGGCTAAAAGGGTCGTAAAGAATTACCGAGTCAAGACTGTAGAAAACCGAAGTCCGGGAAGGTTAGCTGAGCATTGGGCACCACTTTTGCTCCAGCGTATTTGCCTGGTAAGAAAGGAGAAAACGTAATTGGCCACAGTCAGGAGTAGACAGGTGTTGCCACAGACCCTGCCAAGAGCACAAGGGTCAAGGGCACGTTCCAGGCAACTTTGCACATACACAAATTCAGCCACTTAGATGTGGTGGACTAGATCCCCCCAAAGCACAAGTGGCTACAGTCCACCCATTATCTAACAGACTTTAGACAGCTAGATAACCGTTAAGGAAGTTTCGTTCATAGTTTTTAAAACTCTCCAGAATACACCCGTAACCCAGTTGGTTTCCCTGGATCATTTATCAGCATTCAAAGAATTAATGCCAATTCTACGCATTATCTTCCAGAAAATATTAGAAGATGAGACCAGTATTACCCTGATACCAAAACCACATAAATGAATTACAAAAAAAAGAACATGTCAGGCCAGTGTCCCTTACGAACATAGATACAGAAATCCTTAACAAAACGTTAGCAGATCAAACCAAGCAGTATGTAAAAAGAAGTGTACACCATGACCAAGTGGGATTGTTCATTGCCGGGATGCATGGCTGATTCAGAATTCAAAAAGCTGTGTGTGTAATTCTCTCATCGGCTAATGAGGAAAAATCACATCATATCAAGTATTCAGAAAAAGACATTTCACAAAATTCAGTACCCATTCGTGATAAAACCTCGAAGAATAGGAATAGAAGGGGCCTTCTCCAGCTCGATAAAGAGTATCTCCAAAATCCCCTACAGCTGACATCATGCATACCAGAGAAAGGCTGCGTGCCTCCCCCTGAGGCGGGGACTAAGGCCAGGATGTCTGCTTGCACCATCCCTCTCGAGAGCACGGAGCCAGCAGGTGTGGCCTGTGCACTGACACAGGGAAAGGAACTAAAAGGCATGCAGATCACCGAGGGACAGAAAGACGGTCCCAGTTTGCAGATGACATGATTCTCTAGAATCACAGAGAATCCCAAGGAATCCATCACAAAACTCCTAGAGCTAGTAAGGGTTCAGCAAGATCTCAGGCTGAAGATCAACATAAAAACAAAAAGACCACAATTGCATCTCTGTATACGAAAGTTTAAAAGATAACGCCACTAAAATTGTTCCACAAAAATGAATTACCGAGGTACAACCTAACAGACAGGTATAGTATCTGTGTGCCGAGAATTACAAAGTCCTGGGGAAGGAAGTCAGAAGAAGCTTGAGTTCCTGGACAGACAGACACACCGTGCTCACAGACTCCAAGTCTCTACACAGTGGAGAGGTCCCTTCTCTCCAAACTGATGGACAATTCCTAGCAAAATCCCAGCACGGATTTTTGGTTGTTACTGATATGACAAGATTATTCTAAAATTTATATGGAAGAGCAGAAGTAGTCTAATAGAGCCAAAACAGTTCTGAAAAGAAAGAGTAGCATGGGAGGAATGATGCTTGTTTGTTAACATGGCTGATAACACAGCTTGTCATGGAACTACACTAACCAAGGCTGTGGGTTGGCCGAGGGTCGGACACGCGCCGCTGGGACTGAGCAGAGAGCCCCACGGGTCCTGCCGCCCAGTTTTGATGAAGCACAGAAGTCTTGTCAGCAGGTGGTACTGGAGCGGTTGCAAAATCGCAGACAGAAAAGGAGTCGTGACCTTAACCTCGCCATTCACGCAAAAGATTAACTTAAGTAGAACACCGAGCTAAACGCAAAATGTACCACTATAGAACTTTTGGGTAAAAAATAGAAAATTTGGAATCTAGGGCTAGGTAAAGCGTTCTTAGGTTTCACATCAAAAGCATAATCCATAAAAGAAAAAAAGTAGTAAGTTGGACTTCATCAAAATTAAAAACATTTGGTCTGTAAAAATGAGGAAACAACAAGCTACTGAATGGGAGAAAATATTTGCCAACACATGTCTGACAAAGGTCTTGTAAGTAGAAAATAGAAGGAGTCTCAAAACTCAGTAGTAAAAACCAAACAGTCCACTTAAAAAGTGGGCAAAAGACGTAAATAGACATTTCACTGAGAAAGATGTTTGCCTGGCAAACAAGCATGTGGAAGGTTGTTCAGCGTTCATTAAAGCTGCGGTGAGGGGCCGGGTGCAGAACAGCCCAAACCGCACCCCGTGACAGCGGCAAGCCCCCTCGAGGGGAATGGGTACTTGCAGACCAGTCTCCTACACGGTGGTGGGAACGCTTTGGCTAGGTGCGTCAGCTCCCTAGGAAGCTAAGCATGCACTTACCGCATGCCTCAACAGTCCCGACCCTCCTGGGCCTTTGTCCCGCGGAAGTGAAGACTTCTGCTCACCCCAGACCTGGACGTGAGCATTCCCAGCAGCTGCACGTGTGACAGCAGGAGCTGGGAACAAGAACAATGTCTTTAACTGGGCAAACGCTCACACCAGCTGGCCCGTCCACACTGTGGGGTGGGGCCAGCCATGAGAGGGAGGGCCCGACACACACAACAGCATGAGCAGATCTCGGGGGGTTGTACTGAATGAGGAAGCCGGTCCCCACACGGCTACACTCTCAGAATGCCATGGTTGGAGAGAGGGAGGATGGGGCAGGGCAGGGCTCTGCACAAGGGAGGCTCCGTATCTGACGGTGGTGGTGGTGGTTACTCAGATGGTGTGTGTGACATCACACACATCCGTGCATGTGGAAGGACCCATCTCCTGGTCTTGATGCTGCACTGTGGAATGTAGGATGTTAGCACTACGGGAGATGAGGGTGCATCTGTGGGACCTTCCATACAACCTCTGCAGCTTCCTGTGAATCTGTTGTCATTGCAAAATAAAAATCCTAAACCAACCATGTGATGCCTACGAGACACACATCCAAGATGGAGGGACACCAAGACGCTGGAAGATGAGGACAAAGGTGAACTGTGCACTCACCCTAAGGAACTGGTGTGACTAGATGAGAAAAAGTGGACTTCGAGTGGGGATCCTTACTAGAGAGATGATGATGGTCAGCACCAGGTGCATGTCAATGACTCTCTAACTGGGTCAGTTTGCATGGGCAGCTTCAGATATATTTGAAACAAAGATTGGCAGGATGGCAAAGAGAAACACTATAGTGGCAGATTTGAGAACAGGGCTCAGCACACAATGGCCCTGTGGGCCAAATCCAGCCCACAGTCTATTTTTGTACCGTCCTGCAAGCTAAGAATGGTTTTTATATTTTTAAAGTGTTGTTTCTAAAAAAGAAGAACATTCAACAGAGACTGTACAAGGCCAGCAAAGCCTAGCATATTAACTGTCCTGCGTGGCTGAGTCGGTTAAGTGTCCGACTCTTGGTTTTGGCTCAGGTCATCGTGAGAGAAGTCAGCATGGAGACTGCTTGAGATTCTCCCTCACCCTCTGCCCTTCTCCCCACTCATTTGCTCGCTCACTCTCTAAAATAAAAATCTTTTTTAGAAGCACCTGGGTGGCTTAGTCGTTAAGCGTCTGCATTCGGCTCAGGTCACGGTCCCAGGGTCCTGGGATCAAGCCCCGCATCGGGCTCCCTGCTCGGCGGGAGGCCTGCTTCTGCCTCTCCCACTCCCCCTGCTTGTGTTCCTTCTCTCGCTGTGTCTCTCTCTGTCAATTAAATAAATAAAATCTTTAAAAAAAAAAAAACTTTTTTAAAAAGAGAGAGATAATCAGAGGATATTAGGAACAACACTATACCAGTAAATTTGGATGGTTAGGTAAAATGAACATATTCCTTGAAAAACACAACGTAGTAAGACTGAAATGAGAAGATAGAGAATCTAAATGGTTCTAAATCTACTGAAGACATTGACTCTGAAGGAAAATGCAAATCCCGATGGCTCCTGGCCAACATCCCTAAATCTCAGGAAGAAGCAGCATCAGGGTTATTAATCCAGCTTGTCTTAACAAATCCAGCAAAACCTTGGTACCAAAGACATGAGAACACATGAAAATTAGAGGCCATTCTGTTTTATGAAAATAAATACAAAACTTCCAGACAAAAATTAACAGATTGAATCTGGCAATACATAAAATTGATAGAAAGTTGATTTAACATTTGAAAACCAGTGTGATTCACTCTAACACAATAAATAAGAAAAAGCATATGTTTTTGTTAATGGGTGCAGAAAAACTATATGGTTAAATTCAGTACTTGTTCATGATAAAAACTCTCAGTAAACTCAGATTAGAAGGCAGCTTCCTTAATGTAGCAAAGGTTAAAATCTACAGCAGAAATTATACTTAACGGTGAAATATTGAAAGATTTTCCTCTAGTGGGAGTGAGTCCAGGGTACCTTCTTTCAGCACTTCTGTTAAACCGGGAGCCTTGGCAAGAAGAGCAGTCTGAGGAAAGAAATATAAGGTGTAGGGTTTAGAAGAAATAAAAATCATCATAATTGACAGATGGCATGATTGTATAAATGGAAAATCATACCTACAGAGCACAGCCCTTAGAATTAGTAACCAGACTCAACAGGTGCTAGATACAAAGTCAGCATATACACACCCAAATGTATTCTATAAAACAATAGCAAGTAAAAATAACCCCACAGTTTTTTTTATGTTTACACTAACAGCAAAGAAAGAACATGAAACAGCAAAAGACAAAAATCTATACAAAATCCCTCCATTGACAGGCACGACATTTCTGAAAGAATCTAACTTAAAGAAGGCTCCCCATTTAAAGGTGTCCGTGATCCCCAGAGTCCCGCAGAGAATCCCAGCATTCCCTGTGGAAAGCCCGTGTGTGGTGCGTGCGCTGGGACAGTGGGGACAGCCCTGCTGCTCACGGTGTGGCGAGCCTCACGAGGAGTGTCCCCAGAAGAAGCCGGAGACAGCAGTACATACACCGCCTGACTGGTTCTTGTAAATTCACAAGCGTGTAAAACCAGTTACGGTTGGAGTGGCTAGAGCTTACTTTTCGGGGGCAGTGAGGGTGACAGGGAGGCCAGCAGGGGCTTCTGTGATGCTAGCAGCATGTGCTTTGTGGTCTAAGTGGTGGTTGCACGGTTTGTGAAAATTCACGTGGTACACATGGGATCCATGCTTTGGGGCTGGCATACCTCCTTTATAATTTACTTTAAAACAGACAGGTATAGAAGGGATGAACACAAGACATGAACAAGAATTGATTCCATTACAGAAAAATCTACCAAATTAGAGACGTGCCCCCAGCACGTGGAAAAAATACCTCACATCTGTATCAGGGCGCCTTTCCCACAGGCTGGTCTGACACCGAGTAGTCACCATGGTCTGAGCGCTGGGGCGAGGGCCCACGGTGATGGGGCCGGGGTGGGGAAGCTCAGGGCTGCTGGAAGTTTGCAAGGAGGAGGTAGAGAAGATGGGACCTTCTAGAGTCAAGTTATCCCGTGGTGCATTGTCCAGACAGGAGGGCTGAGCCACGCGTGACCCCGAGCCCTAAGACGGTGCAGTTCTAGACAGACAGCACGTGTGTAGTTGGGGAAGTGCAAGAGCTCGATGCACAGTGAGGTGGCAGAGAGTGCTGCAGGGCTGGAGGTGGGGCACGTAGCATGATGGGCAGCGGCCAGCACAGGCCTCACCTGCAGGTCCCTGCAGAGCAGAAGGAGTGAGGACATCCACTTCTCATTAATCAGCGTGCCCTCGGCCTCACAAACCTGTTCGTGGTTGCCCTTTTTAGGACAGTATAAAAGCTGTGCTGTACAACAAACACACTTTCATTAAACCTTAAGAGTGGGGCGCCTGGGGGGCTCAGTCAGTGAAGCGTCTGCCTTCGGCTCAGGTCATAATCCCAGGGTCCTGGGATCGAGTCCTGCGTCAGGCTTCCTGCTCAGCGGGGAGCCTGCTTCTCCCTCTGCCTGCCACTCCCCCTGCTCATGCTCTCTCGGGCTCTCTAAATAAGTAAAATCTTTAATAAAAAAAAAAACCAAAACCTTAGATTAACTCTGGGGTAATCACAGTTCATGATAATTTTCTTAAAATGATGATCAGTTTTATTTTAAGTGAAGTGAACCCTTAATAAAGGGGATAAAACGTCTGTGACTTCTTTCACGGTTTATTTTGGTTTTGTAAACTATATTGGATATGCAGTGATATTTAAAATAGCCACTATTTAGGGGCGCCTGGGTGGCTCAGTCGTTAAGCGTGTGCCTTCGGCTCAGGTCGTGATCCTGGGGTCCTGGGATCGAGCCCCGC